GCGACTCGCACGCCCTCGACGCGACATGGGGTCCGTCGCACGCCCTTTCGTCGCGACCGTGGGCCCTCGGGGCTGATTCTCCTGTTGGAGGCGCCTGCGGGCCGGCAGTCTCCCGCCTCTGGCCACGGGGGCCCTGCCCGCAGCCCCGCCCCGGCCGGGCCAGGAGAGCAGGCCCAGGCTGTGGTCCCGCTGGTAGCATTACGCCGCCCCGAAATAAAAAAAAAAAAGAAATAAACAAAAAAAATAAAAAAGAGGAGAAAAAAAAAAAAAAAAAAAAAAAAAAAAAGTCACGAAACCAAACTGGATCCAGTGGGCATCACGCGCCTCCTGCGTGGGCTCGCCTCCGACGCCAGCGGCCTCGCGATCCGTACATTTTTCCCGAATTACGCGGCGCCGCGTACAGGGGCCTGCCCGGCCTCCCGCTTTGACCGGTGGGTTCGGAGGCTTCTGGACGGGAGCCTCCCCACAGACCGGATCGTGCTGTACTGGGCTTTCACCTCCCAGCGGGCGCCCCCCCGATGGCCACCGGCAAGTGGAGCTACGTGCCGAAGGACTCCCGTCCCCCGAGCGGCGTGCTACTGCAATTCGGGAACAAGAGGGGCGTGGTCCATATGTGGTTCCGCAAAGGTGGCCGTGTCCACGTGTCCGCCGACACGGGTGTCACGGAGCAGAGTCTGGCCAAGTTGGAGGGCTGGACCGCGCCGCGGAACAACGGCAACCCGCCCGCCCTGCCGGGGCCTGGCGCTGGCAGTCAACAGGGGCTCCCGCATCTGCCGCCCCTGCCGCCCACCGATTGGTCGCCCCCGCCGGCTGCGTGATCAGCCCCGTCCCCCGCTAGGACCCCTCCGTGAATCGGGGGAGCTCCGGACAGTGCCGCGACGTTACCCCGGCCGGAGGCCCGGGGACCCCGGCAACCCGGTAAAAGGCGTAGGCTTGCGCGGTGCCGTGCTGCGCGGTGTGTGGGCATAGTGTCGGGCGGCAGTTTTTCGCCAGTGCTTCAGTGAAGAGCCGTGGCCATGACTTCGGCCATGCTGGCAGTACAGCCTCCCAGACGAAATTCGTAGCAAAGCGTTGATGTGTCACGGAATACCCCCCGCGCGTGTCACGGTTTCCGCTGGGCTCTGGCCGTCGCCGCCGCGTGACCGTTTAGATTGCCACAGCGGTCCTCAAGGAGCCCCTGCCAATCCCTCCTCTGCCCCTGGCCCTCCCCCCGCCCTCTTGGGATGCGGCCCCCGTGTGCCGCACCGGGCAGCAGTCAGAGCCTGGGCAGGGCACTGCGCTGACGCCGCCGCAGATCGAGGACTTTTGCATAGGGATGCGCGCAGGAAGCGCGGATCCCCTCTTCCACCCCCAGCAGAACGCCTAGGAAAAACCACCGTCGTCCTCCTCCCCCCCCCCTCTCCCCCCCCCTCCTGCCCTCCCTCCCTGTACACCTGGCGCCGGGCCGGGTCGGGTGGGTCGGGTCGAGGATCGGGGGGCGAAAGCCCCGCTCTCCTGCCCGCTGCCGCGGCCGTCGTCGCTGCTCCTGCTCTTGTCGCCGCGGACGCGCCGCCGGCTTTGTGGTCGCGTCGCCGTCCTGGTTGTCGTTTTCGCCGCCGCTGCCGTCGGTCCTCGTCGTTTTTGTCGTCGTCGTCGTCGTCGTCGTCGTCGTCGGCGTCGGCGTCGGCGTCGGCGTCGGCGTCGGCGTCGGCGTCGGCGTCGGCGTCGGCGTCGGCGTCGGCGTCGGCGTCGTCGGTTTTGTTCGACCTTTTCGTCCTCGCCCTCGTCGTTGTCGTCGTTGCCCCCTCGTCATCGTCGCCGTGGATTGGCGTTGCCTCGCCGCTCTGGAGGCGCGGTCTCGGCCGGCCGGGCTTTCCGTGGAGGCCGTCGGCCACGCTTCTTTCCGCCGACGGGGATCCCGCCGGGAATGTCGAGGTCGGCATTTGGGGGGGAGAGCGCGCCGGGATGGCGGAAGGGGGGACGGCGGGGCCGCTCACTTCTCCCGTCTACATGGACTCCCTCACAGAGGCGCTGCACCACGCGGGCTGCGGCGCGGGAGTCGGCGCCCGCGCCCCGCGTCTCTGGACGGGGCACCGCTGGCGGGGGACGGGCGCGCCCGATCCCGACACCGCACGAGCACTGACTCGCGCGCTACGGGATGGAGCGCCGCTTCCCGCGGCCGCCGAACTCGCCGGCGACCTAGTGCTGGAAGCCTCCACGTTGGCGGCGCTGGACGCCTCAGCGCCGCTGCGCCTGGCGGCCGTCCTCCACGCCGACGATCCTGTCCTGCTGCCCTCCACCAGGGGAGGAGCGCAAATTGCTCTGAACACGCTTGCGGAATGGGCCTTTACCTACAAAACCTCTCCACTTACAAAGTCCTCCAAACAAGCAGTGGTCGTCCAAGGCTCATCTACTGCCAGGAGGGTGGGGCTGACGCCGCACCCCTCACCCTGCCTCTCAAGGGAGGAGTTCCTGTCCAGCTGGGCTTCAAAGACGCGCACCAGTGGCTTGGACTGATGTGGCCAGGAGACCTCGACCTCAAGCGAATCATGGATGCACGGTTGACCGCAGCATCTGCACAGTGTGCATCTCTGGTGGGGCACGTCACCGCGGGGGTCGTGCCGCTCGCCGTCGCTGCCCATATCTTCAAGTCCCAGGTCGAAGGCGCGCTCAGGTTTGGTCGCTGGCTGTGGGCAGTGGCTGAGGGGGCGCCAGGCAAGCTGCGGGACAACTACACCGCCTGGGCGCGCGCTCTCCTGGGCGCCCCGCCTTGGCGTCACTTGGGATTGGCCCTCTCGGAGCTGGGATGGTCGCTCTCAGGCCCCGCTAGGGCTGCGTACGAAATCGCCACCCGGCGCGCAGGCCTCTGGAGGCTTCAGGAGGACGACCTCTACAGGCGCATCTTCCTACGAGCCCATGGATCGGGGGGGCGATCCTGGTCGCAGCGCTCGCTTGCTCTTCTCGATCACTGGTCCATTCCTGACTGGCTTGCATGGGATGTCGCTCACAGCGGGCAGTCCTCGCCCCAGTACAAGTAATTCGCACGAGCTCACTTGGCGGAGCGCTGCGAAGTGGAGCTGAGGCAGATGGTGCGCCTCAACACGAGGCCGCTCCCGGTCCTCAGTCTCGGGCCGGCCCCCAGACCGGATCTCGCGCGGGCCCTAAAACAAGAGCTTCTTGTTGATGTGCCACTGGGCCAGCGCTCGCTGAGCAGGCTACGAGGGCGGCTTGTGGTCCTCAGCCATTCCTCTGGCAGCGATTCTACGGCGCGGAGGCAATCCTGCGTCCAGTGCGGCATCCAGACTCTGAGCCCCACGTTTCATATTCTCGGGCGGAGCTCCCCCGGCGCACTTTCTGGGAGGCCCAAGGGGGCCTGGCCCCTTCCTCCGCGGAGGCGGCGGCTGCAGCGGTCCTTTCCGCAGGCCCGACGGATGCCGGGTACGCGCAGGCGGCCCTGCTGGCGCTTTGTATCGAGAGGGAGGCGGAAAAAAAAAAAAAAAAAAAAAAAAAAATAAAAAAAAAACAAAAAACAAAAAAAAAAAAAGAAAAAAAAGAAAAAAAAAGAAAAAAAAAACGGGGGAGGCGGATCGTTTCTGGGCTGCCGCAGGGAACAATTCACACCCGCCCTCCCTCCCTCCCACCTGGGCTCCCAGGAGGGAGGGTCGGGTCGGGCAAGGTCCTCTCTCCCTCCTTTCTCCTCCTCTCCCTTGGGGTGGCTTCCTCTCCCCCTTCCTGTCGCCGTCCCGCACCTGCGTCGTGCGTCGACATGGCAGCGTCGGAAGGATCGGACGAGCCCCGGGCAGAATCCCCTTGCCCGGCCCACCCCGTCCTCGGGGGGAGTCCCTGAGTTGCCTCTCCCGCGTCGCGCCTGGCCGGGGGTGGAGAGTCGGAGTCTGTCGGGGCGTGTTGTTTCGGCGGGGGTTTGGGTCCTGGCCTGTTTCTCCTGGGGCCTGCCTGTGGGCCCTTCGGCCGTTGGGGCCTGAGGCTCCTTGTTTTCTCCGGGCTTCGCCTCCGCCGTCGGAGCTTCGACAGCTCCCCTCTCGTCCCCTCCTGCACTGGTGGCTTGGCTTCCAGGGCCGTCGCAGCACGGACTCTTCCGAGCCCCCCCGGGCGGTGGCGCCATGCTGAAAGGGAGCTGCGTCCGAAGCTCCCGAATGCTGGCTCAATGGGAGCACCACCAACCAACCAACCAACCTCCTCATCCCTCCACCACCACCTCCTCCTACTCCTACTTATCCTCCTCTTCCTCCTCCTCATCCTGCCGCTCCTCCACTCCCTCATTATCATCAGCAGCATCAGCACAACTCATCATCATCATCATCCTCATCATCATCATCATCATCATCATCATCATCATCATCATCATCATCATCATCATCATCATCATCATCATCATCATCATCATCATCATCATCATCCTCATCCTCATCCTCATCCTCATCATCATCATCTCATGCAGCATCATCAGCCAAAGCCAAACACAAAAAAAAAAAAAAAAAAAAAAAAAAAACAAAAAAAGAAAAAAAAAACAAACAGCAAAAAAAAAAACAGCAAAGAGAAAAACACGGTCCCAGGAAGGCGTAACAAGAAATAACAACAAAAGCAAGAAAAAAACAAAAAAAAAGAAAAAACACAAAAAGAGACAGCAGCAGCATCCGCATCCACATCATCATCATCAGCAGCCGCAACAGCCATCAGCATCATCCGAAACATCGTCATAATCCATCATCAGCAGCATCCTCATAATCACATCATCATCCTCTCCTCATCACCAGCAGCAGCATCATCATCATCAGCATCATCATCATCCATCATCATCAGCATCATCATCATCTCAGCACAGCATCATCCAGCAGCAGCATCAGCATCAGCATCAGCATCATCATCCTCTTCCTCCCACCTCCTCTCCTCCTCCTCCTCCTCCTCTCATCCTCATCCTCATCCTCCTCCTCCTCCTCCTCCTCCTCCTCCTCCTCCTCCTCCTCCTCCTCCTCCCCCTCCTCCTCCTCCCTCCTCCCTAGATCAGCCAGATGGGAGCCTGCCATCTAGCACGTAGGCCCCGCCGCGAGACGCCGTACTACGGCACCAGGAGCGGCCCTTGCCGAGGCAGTGCGCGCACGCTCCGGGCCGCCACCCGAGCTGATCTGGACAGCAGGCGGCGGCGAGGGGGGCGCATGGCTGGGCAGAGAGTCTCCGGGGGGAAGGGCACGCACGGAGAGAGCAGGGGCGGCCGAGCGGCGGCGCGGGGCCACGAGGAGGAGGAGGAGGAGGAGGAGGAGGAGGAGGAGAAGGGAGGAGGGAGGAGGGAGGAGGGAGGAGAGAGTCTGAGGGAGGGAGGAGGGAGGAGGGAGGAGGGAGGAGGGAGGGAGGAGGAGGCGAAGGAGAAGAAAGAGGGAGGAAGAGGGGAGGGAGCACAGATAAAACAAGGGCCAGGGGGGAGTGGGGGAGGAGGAGGAGGAGGAGGAGGAGGAGGAGGAGGAGGAGGAGGAGGGAAGAGGAGGAGGTGGAGGAGGAGGAGGAGGTGGAGGAGAAGGAGGGAAGAGAATGAGGAGGGAGGAGGGAGGGAGAAGATGGAGGAGGAGGAGGAGGAGGAGGAGGAGGAGGAAGAGAAGGGAGGGAGCAGAGAGAAAGCAGAGGCCAGGGGGAGACACCGCGGCCGCCGCGCACAGCCCTCACGGCGAGCCGAAGTCCCAGCGGCGGCCGCCGCCCGACCCTAGGGTGTTCTCGGCGCTGTACGTCACGCGCAGGAGGCCGTCGCTGTCCTTGTACTGATCGTCCACCTCTCAAGGCCTCCTTGATAAGGTCGGAGTAGCTTGGGGACGGAGGATCGCGCCGCATCGCCTTCTGCATCGGCGATGCATCGGCGATGCCTCGGGGATGCACCAGCGACGCATCGTCGACGTCGGCGACGCATCGGCGACGTCGACGCGAAGCAAATCGGGCTCCACCTCGAACGGCATCGGCGATGCATCGGCGATGCGGCGCGATCCTCCGAACCCATCTACGCCGACCCCAACTGGGAGGCTTAGAGCCTCGGACATCAGGCTGCCCGTCTTGGGGGAGACTCCCCCCACGAGCAGGTAGAGCGTCTCCGCGGGCGCAAACCCCTCGCCGCCCTGCTCGGCCCGGGCCTGCGCGATGTGCTTGCAGACGATGTGCCTGAGCTCTCCGAACAGCATGGTGTTAGGCACCAGGAACCTCTTCGGTCCGATGTCCGGCAGAGCCGACTGCGTCTCCCGAAGAAAAAATCAATGAGCATCAAACTGTCTGAGGTCCGCACGGGCTTCTTGGATCGGCGTTGCAATCCCCTCTCTGGCTCGCGGAACGCGGCGGGGGTGGCGCCAGAGGTGCCAGGGGCTCAGGAGCCGATCCAAGAAAGCCACGCGGAGCTCCGAAAGTCTACGGTCGGGGAAGCTTGCTTTGCGTGTCGCGGCGGCAGCCCCAGCGACACGCTATGCCCTGCGAGCGGATCGCGGGTTGCTCCACTCCGCGGGGCGGAAGGCT